CCCGGCACCTTCACGAACCAGATCCAGAAGAAGTTCATGCAGCCGCGCGTGCTGTTTGTCACGGACCCCCGCACGGACCACCAGGCCCTTCGTGAGGCCAGCCTTGTGAACATCCCCGTGATTGCCTTCTGCGACACGGACGCCCCGCTGGAGTTTGTGGACATTGCCATTCCGTGCAACAACCGCGGCCGCTACTCCATCAGCATGATGTACTGGCTGCTGGCCCGCGAGGTGCTGCGCCTGCGCGGCACGATCCCCCGCAGTGTGCCGTGGGATGTCAAGGTGGACCTCTTCTTCTACCGCGACCCTGAGGAGGCGCTGAAGCACGAGGAGGTCAACCAGGCCGCCGCCCCGGTGGCGGAGGTGGACGAGGGCTTCGGCTGGGTTGAGCGCGACAACAACGCCTGGGAGCAGTGAGCGGCGGCCACAGCAGCCGCCACGAGGAGGGACGCCTGCAACTCGTTGAGGCTTGGTGTGAGGAACAATAATTGTCATTTATTTTGTTTCTTATTTGTGTTTTGGTGAGAGGGGGCACCGTGCATTCGACAGCGTGATTGCCTTGACAATGCCTGCCCCACCGTCATGATTCCCACTTTGTTTGCATCTCCGGAGAGGGAGAGGGACTGTCTTTGTGCGTGTATGCCGCGCGGAGGTGGGCAATGCCTGTTTACCGAGCAGCGCACGCCCAGCTTTATCTTTTTCTCTTCTTTTCCTTTTTTTTTTTTTCCACTGCTTTTGTCTGCATGCGACATGTTTTTATATTTTAAGACTAAGGGAAAGGTTTGTGGGACTTGTTGACAGGGGCACCAATAGGCATCAAATCGCATATCTCAAGAACGAAAGAGAACGGTGTAATTCCAAGCAGAGCGGTTGATTCCTTCTCGAATTCAGTTTTTGTGAATCATTACAACCGGGTGAATTACTTAAATATATATATTGACGATGGTGTTATCTTCGGCACCTGAAAGTGGTGGAGAGAAGGTAGGGATGATGCAGGGCGAACTTGAAGAGAATAGAGACTCACTTATAAATTCCACTGAATGTTACGCGTGCTACGGGGAGATTGCGAGTATTGTGGCCAGCACCCAAGGTTTGTATTATCATCAGACAAGAGGCAACGGTGGGACGGATTTGTTGAACCGCATATGGCGTTCGATGGGGGAATTGTTGGAGGAGCAGCTTCTCTTAAAAAGGTCCTGCATCGTGACGGATTTCTTCCATGCGAGCGTTAAGGTGCAAAATATCCAGTACTATGATGGAAAACATGTCTTTTACAAACTCCAGTTGGTACTTTTGCCAGACTTTACCTCCAAGTTTCACTTGCAAAATGTTCTTACCATTGCGGATGCCCAATATCATGCAAGCGTGCCGCATATCATCAGTTACTCCAAAATTGCGGATCGCTCTGGTACCGATCGGTTTGTGGTGGAAGCAGCCATAAGAGACTCCACGCGTGAAATCGGAAAGTATCTCATGCGTAACGCGAAAAGTGTTCTCCGCATTGACATTGGAATCGCATTTTTGGAATTCCGCGGTCGCGAGTACCGCATCAAATGGACGGAAGAATTTCTGCAACGGTTCAGGAAGGCCGTGGGGCCGCGTTCTGTTGTGTCGCCATATGACCCACCGCTGATGTCACCCGCAGCGACAGGTTGCCGCTTTCAGACGGCCTGTTTGTCGGAGGATAGTCTTCACAAGTCGCTGATAAATACCGTACGACGGGAAGGACGCCCGGTTGTGGTGGAGATGAACAGCTCGGGGGGAGGATCATGGTTGTAAGGGCCCGTTTGGTGACGGTGCGACGCACAAAGAGGAGAAACACCCCCCCTTTTTTTTTCTTTTTTTGGGTGGATTCGATGGGTTAGATGCAAAGAAGATGTTCATGAAGAAGAAGGTGTCGGTGGAAAAAAAAAAAAAAGAAAATTGAAAAGAAAAGAAAATAAAAGAAAAGTGGAGGGAACGGAAGCCTGTTGTGAAGGAATGCATCGGCAGGTGCATGCAGGCAGGCATGTATATAATTGTGCATCTTACGTGTAGTGTTTGTATCTAAATATGTGTATGCGTCTGTGCCGTAGGTTTTGTTGGAGATTATTATTATTATTATTATTATCTTCTTTTTTTTTTTTTTTTTTATTTGATTTTTCCTTTTTTACTTCACGCTTAGAGGAGTGAAAAATTGTACGAAAGGAAAAAAAAAAAAAAAAAAAGAAAAAAACAAAGTAAGAACACCACCACATATAAAATATACATATACATACATACATAAAAGGAGCGGTTACATGCAGTCGTTCAATTATGGTTCGATGCCGATGGGAGGGCGAGGGGTTATCATGGCTTACCGCGCCCAGCACCTCCAACAGCAGCAGGGCCACACGCACCATCAACATCTCCATCAACACCAACATCATAATCAGCAACAGCAGCATCACAATCACCAGTACTACGGCTACCATACACATTACCAGGCTGTGGTGTCTCCCAACGGTGCCACCGCACCTCAGTTAACACAACCATCTTTTTTTCCCCTTCATGCTGTAGTAACCCCGCCTCATTATTACAATCATTTGCATCACCAACATCACCTTTCGCATTCTCAACATCAAATACAGCCGAACTCTGCTGTGGGGTATGCTAAAACGGAGCGTTCTGGATTTTCGCTATACACACCTGCAGTTTATGATGCGGGTTATTCTGCTTCTCGGCAGTCATCTCATCGAGAAAGTCATCGTGGGGGCCGTGGTCGCACGGCAACGCGAGGAGGACACAACGCCGAGGGCGATGTTCGAGAATCCTACTTTGCGGTACAATTAAAGAGTTTTGCGGCGTTGGACGAAGCAAAGCGAAAGAGTAGCATACGTGAATCTCTTCATCCGACGGTGTTTGGGAGAATGAGGCGTCGCGCATCGCCCGGAGTACTAAAGATTCTTGTCATTGTGGCACGACAGTATCTTGCGGCATGCATGTCAGTACCGCAGTCGGATGACGACGTGATTTTATCGAAGGGAGTTGCGATGACATTTTTAGATGTACAGCACGTCTATTGTGACGACGGCATTCGATTAGTGGACATGGATGACGGCACCCATGTTGTAAAACACGTTTATTCGACACTTCGAACTGCTCTGGCCCAACTGGCAGCACATGACAGGACGGATAACAAGAGAGAGGCTACTGTAAATCTTTTACAACCCACCGGGACACTTTTGCTGAAAGACATTCTTGTCAATCGTGCCGTGGCCACGACGATTTTGGAGACTTTGGAAAGAGACGACGAAGATGCAAATAATTTTTGGATGCAACTTCTTTTTGAGCCTGCTCCTCCCACGGCGACGGATGGCGCGGATGGTTCGTCGCAGCAGCAGCAGCAGCAGCCATCTGGAAAGCCAGGTCCTCCCCCGTTTCTTCCATCATATGGGGTGGCAATTTTTGCCACGACGCAGGGGAGTTGGTTATTTAGAAAGGCCATGATGCATCCCCAGCGAAGAGAGGCTTTCTTTCGCGTGTTACAGGACGCGGCAGTAGCACCTCCGCAGGATGACACTGAAGCGGTGCTGTCACCGACTATTCCTGAACGGCTATTTCTGGCTCTGTTTTCTTCTCCTCTGGTATCGCGCTTTGTGTTTGAGTGCTTTGGTTTGGTGGAGGGGGTGCAGCTTTGTGAGGCGGAGTTGACAGTTCTGTGTGCCGCTCTGGGGCGACTTGCACTAAAGGTTGTCTGCAGCACCGGCGGTAGTTTTCTCATGACGGCGCTGGTGAAGGCACTTTGTCCAAGTCGCTTCACCCGCGGGCAAAAGACGAGTGGGAAACGTGGCCGTGACACGGAGACGCATATAAAACAACAACACGGCGACAATGAGGGCCAACACCGTGCAACTGGCGGTGACGGTGGCGATGGTGGTGGTGGTGATGGTGATGGTGATGGTGATAACGAGGGAAATAACACTGGAAGCAGCGAGCAAGAAGACAAGACAAATGGTATGTGTGAGCAAAATCGACCCATCCACGTGGTGGGGCAGGAATACCGTATGTCGGAGATGTCTTCAGAGTGGCGGCTCATTTACGCGGTGGCTCGGGCCTTTGTATCCGGTCCCATTCCTGGTGATACGGAAGAAACGGAGGCAACGCTGAGTTGCCGTGTCAAGTTGCTCACACAACACGTCGTGGCGTGCCGGTCCATACAGAGTCTTATTCCCTTCTTTGCTGATACCGTTGCCCAAGGGGAAACGGATCCAAAGCAGCAGCAGGAAAGTGCACAAAACACATTGCCTGATGCAGCACAGTTCTTCGATGACTGTTCGAAAATCCTCTCGGAGATTGCGAATCAAACGGGACTTCTGGCGAACCATAGTTACGGGAATTACGTATTGCAGACAGTGGTGTCGGAGCTGACGCAGCGCACCGTCTCGGGATCCCTCATTCAATCAATTTTACACAAGGTCTTTGGTACGTTAATTAGCACCGTCTTTGAGGCGAGTATGCAGAAGTTTGCTTCGAATTGTGTTGAGACGGCAATTGCGGCGTGCCACAGTCTCCCGGACGGCAGTGCCCTCCTCCTGCGCTTTGCCAACGCGCTGCTCTCGGAAGGACCAACTCAAATGGAGAGGGTGGCGATGCATCAGTTTGGCAACTACGTTGTGCGCCGTGTACTCGACTCCCTCACTGACATCGCAACGTCGGCTTTTGCCACTGCCACCCCGGCGGAGGTGCAGGAGGCGTGTGAGTTGGAACTGCAGTACTTCAGCATCCTCAGCGCGCAGTCCCACCGGCTCCGTCAGACGTCATACGGCTCGGGTCTGCAGGCGTGGGTGGAGAATCAACGTGGGAGGCTGCAGGGGGCAGAGGCGGGAGAAGAGGTGGCAGGTGGGGGATGAGAAGACGACGTGCAGGCGATCAAAAATGAGACGTCGTCTTTTCCCACTAGAGGAGGCAAAACAGCGAGCGCAGACGATTTACACACGCATCTGAAGCTTGACATGAATTCGCCTCGCCTCCGCCACGCACGGACGGGTGGTCTCGAGGCATCCACAGCAACGTCCATCAAACAAACAAAATAAATCAACAACAACAAAAACAGAAAACAACGGAAGGAAGAAAAAAAAAAACAAATGTTGGGCGGAAATTGGGGAAAAAAGAACTTAAAAAACAAACAAACAAAAACACACACGCAAATAAATAAATAAATAAGAGGAAAAAAAAAAAAAAAAAGAGAGAGAGAGAAAGAGAGAGAGATGAAACAAAAACAATAACAGAAAAAGAAAGAACGAGAAAAAAATAAAATAAAATAAAAATGTGGACAAGGAGGGGAAAGTCATGTAAAGGTACCCGAGGAGAGTGAAGTATAATCAATGAAACAATGAAAAACTTAAATGACCGGGGAGAGGGGGGGGGGGAACGTTGCGTATACACAAACACAAAGACGCATAAGTGAAAACATTGCGTGCCACCAAGGTGGCGTGAAGAACCAGAAAAAAACAACAAAAACTGGAGGAAGAAGAAGAAGAAGACAGGATGAAAAAAAAAAAAAAGTTTACATCGAAACGGTCTTTTCAAATTTCCGAGTCTCCTTCTTTTTTCTTTTTTTGCTGTTTTGTTTTTTTGAAGGAGGAGGGAACAATGTTGGCTTTAATCATCAATACACATTCAGGTACACATTACGTGCTCACTCAGTTACATGTACTGTGCATACATTACATGCATACACGCCTTGGAAGGGGGGTGGGGGAAATGGGTGTGGGGTTGGGAGGGTCTTATTTACTCTGAGAATACGGAATACAGAAAACAGTAGAAGAAGAAGAAGAAGAAGAAGGTGCCGGTGATAAATGTAGAGGGGTGAAATGCCAGGGAGAGAGAAAGAGAGAAAGAAAGGTGGAAATTCAAAAGGAAAAAGAAAGAAATAAAACCAAAAAAAAAAAGAAAGAGACATGGCAATGTGATCCGTGTTGTTTATGCAGTGGGGAGAAGAAAAGGGGGCGGAAAGGGAAAGGAGAAAAAAAATTTTTTTTTTTTTTTCTTTTCTTTTTGATGTGTATTGATATGAATAAACAATGAATTTTTTGGTTAATACCAAATGTGGGGGAAGTTAACATTGCAATATAGGCACATAATAACTGTATGCATTTTCTTTTCTTTTCTTTTCTTTTTTTTTTTTTTTGATTTTGTTGTTGTTGTAATTATATGCAAATATGTAGATATCTATACCTCTATATATATATATATATATATATATATATATATATATAGAGAGAGAGAGAGGGAGAGGGAGAGGGAGAAAGTTGTTTGAATTGAACATTCTTCCCTTTTTATTAATGGATGTCATTATGCGCCTATACCTTATTTCCTCTACGCATAAACACACACACACACACACACATAAGCATGCACGCTTGGACAGAAATATAGCCATCATTATCACTCTTCGAAAAGCAAAAACAAAATCCACCTTGTTTTTGGTTGTGTGTTTGTTTTTCCTTTTCTTTTCTTTTTTTTTTTTTTTTTTTTTTTCCTCTTTATTATGATTGATGATTATTATTGTTTTCACACATACACGACGTTAAAATGTGTCTTTTTTTCTTTTTTTGTCGATTTATTTGCAGGACTGTGGTTTTTACGACAGTGAAGGCTTTCTTTTTCTTTTTTTTTTTTTTTTTCGCCCGGTCTCATGGGATGTTTCTGCCGGTTTTGTTGCGTCTTTTTTTTTCTTTCTTTTCTTTATTATTTCTTTTGCAAATATTTCTTTTCCCCCTCGCTTTTCTTCTTTTTTTTTCTTCCCTTCACGTGGCTGCATTTTGCGCTGCCGCTCTCAGTTTGAGGGCGGGGCTGCCGAACACGACACGTGCGTGTTTTTAAAGAGACACACACGCATAGAGAGAGAGAGAGACTTTTTTGTTTGTTTGTTTGACTGTAGTTGTGGGGCGGTGGGAGCGGTGAGGACAGAAGTAAAAAAAAAATAATAATAAATAAAAAAGAAGGAGAAGAGGACGTCGTTTGCAAACAAACAAACAAAAAAAAAAAACGACATCGGCATTGACAAAAGGGGGGTGGGTGGGAGGAAAGCGGAAAAGAAAAGCACACAACAGGGAAGCAACAACAACAGCAACAATAATAATAATTAAAAAAAAAAAAAAAGGAAAAATAATAAAATTGAAAACAAAAACAAAAAATAAGTGGGGAAAAGTGGAGAAATTGCGCCCTTCGGTGAGCGATGAGTTACCCCACATACACCGGTGTTTTCTCGGACGACATGGCGGCGTACGAGGACGAGGCAGACGAGGAGGCACTTCCGTGGATTGTGTGGTTCTGCGAACTGAAGAGCCATGAGTTTTTCTGCGTTGTGGACCGTGAGTTTATTGACGATGAGTTTAACCTCACGGGGCTGTCCACCATGGTCTCCTTCTATCACTACGCGCTTGACCTCATCTTAGACCTGGAAACACAGAACAGCGCTCGGCTAACGGCGGAGCAGCAACGTCTTGTGGAGTCCTCAGCGGAAACTCTTTACGGTCTTATTCACGCCCGCTTCATCACGACGCAACGCGGGCTTAAACTTATGGAGGAGAAATTTGCCGAAGGGGAATTTGGCCGATGCCCCCGCGTTTTCTGCGGCGGGCAGGCGGTATTGCCGGTGGGGCAGAGTGACGTTGTGCGTGAGAGCTCCGTCAAGTTGTACTGCCCGAAATGTCAAGACATTTATTACCCGCGCTCCTCACGTCACCGCACACTCGACGGTGCGTTTTGGGGGACGACATTTCCACACCTCTTTCTTATGCACCTGCGCGAGAATGGCAAGGTGATTGCGAAGCCGAAGCAGCACTACGTGCCGCGCATCTACGGCTTCCGCCTGCGTGAGAAAGGGAACGCCAAGGAGGAGCATGACGATGAGCAGATAGCAGCAAGGGTAGAGACGGAAGAGACGGAGGAGAGAGCGGCGGAGGTTTCTGTCGGGGAGAGCAACACACCGGCAAACACCCCCAATAACTCGCGCCTGGCGCGTGACTGCTTTAGAGACCCGAATGGTGAACGTGCCGAGGCACCTCAACGCTGAGGAAAAATTCCATAACAACGACAAGAAGGATTCCCTCCTTTGGAAAAAGAAAAGAACTGAAGGCAACGAAAGAAGCAGGCTAAGGAGAACGATCAGGAGGTACGAGGGAATTGAACGGAAAAGAGAAAGAAGAAATGAAAAAAGGGTAGGTGAAGAAGATGAAGAGATTGGTCCCCCAAACACACCCAAATACGCACATCCGTGGCATTATATTCATGTCCGCCATGCACATCTGACACGCCGTCTGGGAAACAAGCTCTTTTTCTTTTTTTTTTTTTTTTCTTCCCTTCTTTGGCTTTAAAGGAGTGGTTGAGTGGAGCTTTAAGGCCGGAGAGAAGGAGGGAGGGGAGGGAATGGGGCAAAGAAATAGAAGAATAGACGAATGATTTTATTTAGAATGAATTAGGTGGGAAGGGGGAAGCATATATATATACATATATTTATATATGTATATATATAAGAGGATGCGTGTGGAGGAATAAATATGAAGAGAAATACTTAGAGGGGAAGGGAAGTCTTTTCCCTTTTTTTTTTTTGCACTGTGCAGTATTGCTCTGTTTTTCCCTCTGTGTGTCTGTATGTGTGGTGGTGTGGCTGTGTGGCTTCTCGTCGGTTTTCATTTCTTTTATCTTCCCGAGTGCATGTATATTATTATTATTACTATTACTATTATTATTGTCATTGTCGTCATTATTATACATATGCATGCATACATTTTTTTTGCTGTTGGACGTATTTTTCCTGTTGTTGTTTCTGCTACCAAAAACGCATGAAAAAAAAAAAATATGTTATTATTATTATTATTATTATTACTGCTATAATTTGTATTATTGAACGGCTTGAACGCAGCACCCAGCGTTTACACTCGTGAATTCATTTATTTTTCTTTGTTGTTGTTGTTTGCTCTTGCGCGGTGTATCGTTTTTATTTTATTTTTGGTGCGTGGTAGGTTGCGACGGATGGAGACCTCATTGGTGGGGGCGGGGGACGGCATGTCTGATTTGAAGAAAGCTCCCGCAAAGAGGCGGCGGCATTGTAGCCCGAAGATGCATGAGCACGACCACCCCACGCATGGAGCCGATGAGAAACAGGAGACAAGGGGACTGGGCATGGCGGTGGAGGGGCCGTTGCTCAAAGGACCGCGGACGGAAGCCAAGACACATTCGAATTTTGTGGAGCTTCGCCGTACACTGGTGGATGCCGCTGCAGTG